CTGCTTTAAGGGGGAATTTACTCGCTATTATTATTGTATATGGTTGTCTTTTTGCTCTTACATAACTTGTTTTAAATCCCCTTCTTCTACTTTTTGTGTATGCCAAAGGGAGAAAACATATGAGATGATATGTATATAATTTTTCGATACAAATGTGATAAATTGATGGATAAAATTAATGAATATGCTTGAGGTTATTGACTTGTAAAAGATAAGAGGAATATATGTATAATAATGTAATATCTAAAATTTTTATTCTTTATCAATTGTTGATTATTACTTTATGCATATCATCTTGTTTGTCATAATAAAAAAGTGAAAATTGTTGACATATGGTTGACTTTATGTTTTGATCTTAACAAACAAGTTAAATTTTATTTCTAACAATTGAATTTAAGTTTTCATAGCTATTGTTGTAAAGTTGATCAACTGGGAACAAAAAGGCCACTACCAAAAGATTCGCATCGGACGATCAACAAAAATCGAGATGGAAACCAAGCATTCCCTACAAAGAACTTCAAGTAGTCAAATATCGAAGATATTAGATTAAGATGTTTTTCATTCATGTGTAAAGGTACAACGCCTCAATCTTTAGCAATGAATTATTCAAAGTTCAACGAATAAATTTTTATGCACGAGAAAATTATTTTATAAAAACACTTGCATAAAAGTTATTAATCAAAAGGTATGTATTTTAATTTGATATTCAAACTCATTACAATATCATTTATCTTGAAAAATAAAGTGAAAATTGCCCTTCAAAAGCCTACATTTTTAAAATAATCAAGAAATAAAAATTCTGAAAGTTTTGTCAATGAGGACGTCCGGTTCGTCCAACGATCACTTTTTTAACTGTTTTGAATTATGACGCACAACGACTAGCTTGGTTGTCCAGATCAAAATGCGGACGTTCAGATTGCTTGTCCGATTATTTAGAATTTTTGACATTTTGAACTCTGTAAATACCATTTTACTTTGCATTCATTGTAACACTTTCAAAACCATTTTAGTGAGATATTTTTGCTAAATTATATTGATCTTACATCTTACATCTTATTTATCTTTATCAAATCATTTCTTTGAAAAACTTTTAATTGAATCAACTTTTAAAAAACATATTTCTCATCAAAGTTTTTCTTACCTAACACTTGAGCTCCATTAATTTCTTTTCATTAAAGTTACTTAATTTGATTGTATCCTTTATTAAGTTTCAAATTGTAAAATCATTATTCTTTAAATTTGTGGGTCATATTGTGGTCCTGAAAAGCTCAATATTGTATAGGGATCGGTACTTCTTGTTTATAAGTCATCGAAAGCGTTGCAAGGGTTTGAATTGCACGATAAATCAATCAAGTTTTGTTAAAAGGTCATGCTCATGACAAAGAGTTCGGTAATGGAGGTCGTAGATCATTGATTAGATTGAACCTCCACAATTACATCGTTTTTACACCCTCTTCCCTTTTACTTATAGCTTTCGTACTTGTGCTTTTTTGTTTGATTGACTTATTCATTTTCAATTTGCTTAAATTTGAATCAATTTTTCGAAAAAGTTTTGTAAAACTCAATTCAACTCCATCTTGGTTAGTTATTATTCGGCTATCAAAGTTTGCCAAACTTACTCTTCTTTCCGCTCGTGCATCTCTAAACAAGTTGAGGTAGGAAATACACTTTCTCTTCCGTTTAAAGAAAGACACGAAATTTTAACTAATTGAGTTCATAAAGAAACTTTTCTTTCATTCAAAGAAAATATTAGTATTATCTTAATTTTGAATTATATAATAAAGCTGTAAATATTATTTTGACTATACTATTAGATAGACATATATTTGTTTAAATGTAACTTATTATTTCTTGTCAACATTGTAGAATAATATTGTATTACTACTTTTGAAAGAGTATATATTCAAAATTAATTATCATTATTCCTAGAAAATATTTATTTCGTTGCTCTCGAAGTAGCACAATTCAAACATCATAATATCTCGAAGGAATATTATTTTATTAATTTTGAAGAAGACAATTTCAACACTAATGAATATTATAGAAGAATAATTTCATCCCAAAAAATGAAATTATTATATTATAAAACTTATTTGTGTTATTGCTCCTGAAATGTATACAATTAATATTTTTAAAAAATTGTGTTATTGCTCCTCAAGTGTATAATTATATAAATGTTAATTCTTGAAGAATATTATGTTGTGCTCGCAAAGTAGCACAAATATCGAAAAATATAATATGATTTAAAGTCATATTTAACTATGTTTATGCTCTAGGAGAAGTATAACTAAACAT